TAGTGGGAATTATTTCTGTGTTCATGATATATTGGAGGGCCGCTGATATTCCTTCCATTTTTTAAAGTCCATGATTCTAATAAAGACCCTTATTGGTCTTTTCTAGGATAGACTGACAGTTGTCCTTTCATTTACCCACAACTTCATTTGGTTTTTTTGTAGAGGAAATTTAAAGATGGATGATTCAGTTACTACATTATTGTGTTCATGTGTTGATCATAGGATAAATTTTTCATATTTGAAACACTAACAAATAAATTAATATTCCTATATCATCAAAATGTGAGATAGCACTCTATAACTGCTATGTTGGCACTCATCACCTTCATTATAACAGTGGACTTTATAGGACTGAAGATGCTTTGTTTTATGGATTGTCATATCCAAGATTTCATCACCAAGTGGATTGTGTAATGGGGAGAATGTTCTCTGAATTTAGCCTAACTAGTTTGTAGAAAGCACTTACCATCTGTTACTAGGTTTATACTGGAAGTCTTCACATCATAGATTAACCAACTGGAGCTCATACTCTACTGGTAGAATCTTTGAGAACACACAAACGTGCAACATAATGAAGAATTGGAGTAGGATTTTGTGAAAATGAGATTCTATTAAATTCTGTCCTTATAGCTAGACTTCTACAAATTAGCATCAAATAGGATTCCTTAAAAGAGAAGTTGCTTTTGAAAAAAAAACACAGTATTTGTTTGAATAAAGACTTATATTAGGCCAAAATTTACTCTAATAGGAAATACTTATCATTATTATTATTATTATTTTTGGTGAAGCAATCAGTGTTAAGTGACTTGCCCAGGATCACACAGCTAGTAAGTGTCAAGTGTCTGAGGCTGGATTTGAACTCAGTTCTTCCTGACTCAAGGCCTGAGCTCTATCCACTGTGCCACCTATCTGCCCCAGAAATACTCATTTTATTCCTAAGTGTTTGATAGATTATTCATATCTTTCATAGAGGTCTGTAGGTTTACTGAAATTAATTGAGGGTGGGAAGAAATATATATTAAAAGACTATGTCAAATTATTCTAAATTGAGCTTTATAGAACATATTCTAAAGGAGAGTTGGTATGCATGTTCTCAATGAGATATTATAAGATATTATAAGATTCCACAACATTAACATATTAACACTCAGAAAAACCAAAATTGTCCACAATAACATGCTTGACAAAACAGGTCAATCTAATCTAATTTTCACATTGCACAATTTTCCTTAAATAGTTAACATTAAAATTTAACTTGACTATAGTCATCCCTTCCACATAACAGAAGTTAGGGGCATGGTGCCCCCAATCTCAAAAATCTATGTAAGATACTTTTGGCCTTACCATTGTACCAAAGAAGTCTGCTTTTTTTTTTCTTTTATGGGTTATTTACAGTAACTTATTGTAAAGTTTGGGTTAAATATTTGATCATAGGCTACATTATACAATGCTTTAAATATATTTTATGTATTTCTGAGTTTCTAAACCTTTTCTGTGTCATCTCCTGGTCTTTGTGTGTTGTCTGCAACTTCTGCAAAACTCTCAAAAAATTCCCATTTAATTTCTTAGGCCAACCCATGACATATTAAAAACATGATGGGGAAAATCATGATATGGAAGAGATAACTGTATTTCTCATAAAAATAACCTATGAAAATGGTTTATCACAAAGGAGATATTTATTCTGAATTTACTTATTCAGAATATTTATTTAAAATATTTATTCCAAATACATTTATTCACTTGATCATATGCAACAGAAACTGAAGGAAAACCATAAGCAATATTGGCAATGATTACTAATATGGAAAGCTTTTGCTTATACTCGGATTTTTCCCTTACCTTTTAAGATTTGAACTAAAGTAAATTTAACAATTTTACCATATTATATTACTTTTGTGCCTGAAGAAAAATACATACAGAAAGCGTTGTGTAGTAAAAAGAACACTGAACCTGGAGTTAATAAATTTGGGTTCAAATCCTGATTTGGCTACTTAATCCCTTTGTGGCTTTCAGCAAGTTATTTATTCTTCCTCAGTTTTCCTGATTTATAAAGTGGAGTGGCCAGAATAGATTATTTCTACTCTTAATTTCTAACTCAAGAATCTTACAATACATAGAAAGAACTCATTTGAATGAAAATGTACAATTCAAGCTACCTCTAGTCTGGACAATCCTGATTGATTCCTTTTATTTTATAAATGTGTATTTGTTGCATATTAAAGTCAAATTCTCAAAGCATATTACAAATCATCTTTATAGTGCATTTGCTTATTTGTTTGCGATGTGTTTAACCTACTCAATTTACTATACTGGAAAGAGTGATTGAAGTGAGATTCAGGGAAACCTGGTCTATGGCCTTGATACTAACTAGACATGTGACTTTCAGAAAGTCATATAACTAACTACTGTGAGGCTCAGTTTCATCATCAGTAAAGAAAGGAAAAAAATAATTCTATGATCTTTAAGTTGCCTTGCAGTAATAAAATTCTATATCCTTAAATGAAAAAAGTCATGTTTGCATATAAATAGATTTTATTTCATTCATAATGAAATAATTGAAAATATTTTACATGTAGAATACATTTATTCAATTTATTTTACCTCTGTGCCTTGAAATCACTATGATGGATAAAGTAAATGTTTTTAAACAATTAGGTCACATTTGACAGCTTATGAAATTAATTCTCAAACAGGAAGGTTAAACTTGGAATTCTTCAGAAGGGATGCTAAAGAATATATGTGGTTTTTTGGTTTTATTTTGTTTCTTATGTATCACTATTTCTAATGGTATAACATACATGTGGAGGGTAAGGGAAAAGGAATAAACATTCACATAGCACATACTAAATGATAGGCACTGTGCTAAGTTCTTCACAAATAATATCTCCTTTGACCATGACAAAAACCTTGTGAGGTAAGTGCTATTCTTATTTGGCAAAGCAACTTGCCCAAGATCACAAAGTTCATAAATGTTTAATTTGAACTCAGGTCTTTCTAATTGCAGGCGCAGCATTATGTCTATTGGGATTTACCATGAAATCCAACAGCATTTATTAAGTTGTTACTGTGTGAAAAATTAGCTATATTCTGGACATACAAAAAAAAAAAAAGATAAAATGGAAAAGAAAAAAGAAAAGAAAGTCTGAATAGCATACAGATATACTCTCCAGAAACTACCTTTAATAATGTAATTCTATTATAGTATGTAGCAAAATAGCACTTCACACAGTGCTTGGCACATGGTAAGCATTATTAAATGTTTATTGACTGATTGATAATAACTCATAACCAAGGCCCACATTAAAATTCTTTGCTAAATGAAATTTTGGTCAGTCCCAAATCAGGTTTCATATCTTAAAAATCATGGAAGGACAATGAATACTTAGTAAAAATTGTTCGTTTGTAAATACTTGAGACCTAACCAATGTTTGTTTCATTCCATAGAAGGAATCATATTAATTAGTCCACCTGGCAACTTCTTAAAGAATTTTTAAAAAGAGAGACCAATTAAGGGGCCATAGAAAACAGCTACTTCTCACCCCTGAGTATGTAGATGAGGAAACTAATATCTATCTATATTATGTACACACATATGTGTGCATGTTTTTGTGTATGTGTATTGTACAGATCAATATCTAAGTATCTCTGTATCTATATCTGTTTCTATATCTGTCTCTATCTTCATCATCTTTATATCATCTATGTATATATATATATATGCATGTTGTTCAGTCATGTCCAGCTTTTGTGACCCCATTTGAAATTGTCTTGGCAAAGATACTGGAGCAGTTTGTCATTCCTTCTTCAGCTCATTTTACAGATGAGGAAACTGAGGTAAACAGGGTTAAGTAACTTGCTGAGCATCACACAGCTAATAAGTGTCTGAGGCTAGATTTGAACTCAGGAAAGTAAGTCTTCCTGACTCCAGGTCTGGCACTCTATCCACCACGCCACCTACTTGCCCACAGACACACAGATATGCAAACAAATATGCATATGCATAAATATTGGAAAACCATTTTAGAAATCTATAATATTTAAGTATATGTATATGTGTAACATCTATATCTATATAACACATGCAATATACATATACACATATGTATGTATGGCTACACATAGATATGATTATATGTGCATATATATGCACTCTAGAAGACATATAGGTAAAGATTTTTTGTTTACGATGTGCTAAGTTCTTCACAAATAATATCTCCTTTGACCATGACAAAAACCTTGTGAGGTAAGTGCTATTCTTATTTGGCAAAGCAACTTGCCCAAGATCACAAAGTTCATAAATGTTTAATTTGAACTCAGGTCTTTCTAATTGCAGGCGCAGCATTATGTCTATTGGGATTTACCATGAAATCCAACAGCATTTATTAAGTTGTTACTGTGTGAAAAATTAGCTATATTCTGGACATACAAAAAAAAAAAAAGATAAAATGGAAAAGAAAAAAGAAAAGAAAGTCTGAATAGCATACAGATATACTCTCCAGAAACTACCTTTAATAATGTAATTCTATTATAGTATGTAGCACATGCCTTATTGTGAAAACACAGAATTAATTCTCATTAACTGAGACTACCTACAAAGTGACAGAGTACCTAACACTCAGATAGATAGACTCTTGTCTCTCTAACAGCATTGCCTCATCCTCACCTTAATGCCATACTTACTAGGTGACATTGCATATGTCAGGTGTCACAGAGGACATACAAAATTAGTGTACTGTGTACAAAAATTATATTCTTTCTCAACTTTTAAAACTTTAATTTTTTTTCTGAATTAAATTAAAATAGGTAATTTTGTAATTAGGTAATACTTTGAGCATCTTGTATATAAAGATTCTTAGACAAGGCATTAAAATATTTTCTGGGAAATGATCTCCAACTCATGGTTCATGTTGAGAGGGAGAAGAAGAGGTTGGGAATGTGTCCACTGTCTACACAAATGAGACTTCATCATCATATCATCTTGTATATTTTGTTTCTAGGATGAAAGGGAGGTGTGAACAGCTGGCCTGACAGATTGTCCTTGTTTGTCCAAAGCTTAAATATTGTTGTACAGTTCAGTGTTCGTGGAGTATGCCGTTCAGGAAAGACACGACATTTTCCAGTATCCACTTAAAAGGTCAGAATGACAGATGTAGTGTTGTCATATGCTCAACCGGAAGTATTCATGCAGTGATCAAGTATCTTGTGTATTTCATTGTAGCATACTATTTTTAGTGAGAGTTTTATTGTGCTAGAAGATGTGCATGAGCACATATTCTTTTAAATTAATAAGCTTCAAAAGCTATCAAAAATTATGAGGGGGAATACATCTAAGTTAATAATGTTACAAAATCAGTGTTTTCCCTCAAAAACCTATTAATCAGGATTAAGCAAATGGAGTCTGTGCTTTCCTACTTCTCACAGAGATGTTACAGATTATTTGATGCAATCTGACAAGTACATCTTCTACTTGACTTAAAAGGTTAAGGCTTACCTAAAGAGTCAATGCCGAAATTTCTAGAACAAAAGAAAACTGTGGGGTAGTAGATTTAACTATGTCATTGTTCCAAGAAAGATGGGTGTTGTCATGGATTGTACTGCTCGAATGCTATTTGAAATGTCACTCTGAGAATCCCTTTTTTTTAAAATATGGTGGAATATAAATTGGTATACTATATTATATTCTGTTCTGCTATTATATAGTACTAAAATGTAATATAATGTAATTCCATACCATACAATACTATACCATGCCAAGCCATACCATGTATCACAGAATATCACAGGATGTGATAGGATAGGATAGGATAGGATTGGATCGGTTAGGATAGGATAGGATAAGATAGGATACAATGCAATATGATTCAGAATATACAATACAATACAATACAATACAATAATAGTATTCTAGCATTTATATAGTGTTTTAAGGTTTACAAAGTATTTTAAGTGTGTAATCTCACACATTGTGAGATCACTGTGTGATCTTCACAATACTTTGTCATGTCAGTGTTATTATTATTATTCCCATTTTTCAGATGAGAAAAGCTGAGAGAGATTACCTTAGCTAGGGTCACATTGCTAGTTGAGTGTCTGAGGCAAGATTCAACCTCAGACCTTATGAACTCCAAGTCCAGTGCTCTGTTCTCTACATTACCTGTCCTAGATGCTTCTGTTGTTGTTATCTATCATTTACCTAGATCAATCTCCCAACTAATTTTGTAATTTAACATTACAATATCTTTTATTGTTAGAGATGGTGAATTTTTTAAAGGTGGCAAGAACTTGACACTGTGGTGCAGTATAATGAATGCTAACTTAGAAACAAAGGACCAGAGTTTGCCCATGCCATTCCCTGCTTTTATGAAGCTATTTAACATTTCTTTGTTTCTGTTTATTTCTGTATATAGGATGTTCCAAAGCTCTTAGTTTAGATATGAAGCTTTACTCACTTAAAATAAACCTGAAACATCCAGAATAATTAAGGAGTAAACTTAATGGCTTCCAATGTACCTTCTAGTCCCAAATCTATGATCCCATCACTGTCAGAGACACATATATAATTCTGATAAAAATTCCAAATTCTCTACCCCTCCAGACTTCACAAGATCACTTTTCAGTCAATGGCGAGGGACAGAGAGAAGAGGAGACAGTAACTTTCTCTTCTTTTTGGTCCACAGGCATTTCCCTCTTAGGAGTTTGACTAATCTTATTTCTAGATTGCCAGACACTAATGTCCTGGGTTCCAAGTTGCTTCACTGTTTTATATACAACAAATAGGTTGTGATTATGCTTCTTTAGCTACTTGCAAAACACTTCCTGACACATCTAGTTGAAAAGTTTTTGACTACTTTACTGATTTAATGGAAATATTTAGGTTTAATTCATACTTAATTTATTCTTCTGATTAATTGATTTAGTTGAGAATTCCTGGTGGCCCCAATCCTTACATATAACATATTCATATGCATCTAGGTGTGTGTGTGTATGTGTATGTGTGTGTGTGTGCGTGCGCATGCATGCGTGTGCATGTGCTTGCATGTGTATTTGAAAAAAAGATGGGGGATTTTTCAATGATCCACAAAATGAGTTTTATATTTATGTGTCTCCTGGCAACAAATTATACTTGTATATGCATAAATTTCAAGTTGGCTTCTTTCCTAGAAAAGAACATAGAAAAGCTGAAAGAATACATCTTTACTCTCCAGGTTTATTAGGGACAATGAAGTGCTCCCCAAAAGAATGCAATAAGTGTTTCAAGGATTAAATTAAGAAGAAAAACTGATGTGAGGACCCAGACAAAAATCCTAACTTGTGTAAGAAGCTTAAGAAATTGAAGGGCATGAGGGAAAGAAGGGAAGAAGGACTATCAAACATTCATAACTAAGTGGTAGACAATAGACTTTTCCTGTAGAGTGTAAGCTAAATGATTTCAAGAGGAAATAACTAGTGTACTTTAAAGAATGATAACATGGCTACACAGATACCATAAGTGAGAAGGCATCCAGCAATATAATAATCAGTGGAAGAAGACACTAACAATTTTCTTTCATGACCCTACACTTAGTGGTACTAAGGTAACTATTTTTCAACATTATGTAAACAATATAGAAATGCTTGGATTCTACATTCTTTGTTGAAACTGCAATCAGAATGTGGCAAAGAATGAGAGGAAGAGAGACAGGGAAAATGAGAGGGAGAGAGGAGAAGTCAAGGACAAAATTCAGAACTATATTTTGTAAATTTGAATCAGGAAGGAAGGAAAAGAGGAAAAGGGGGATGAAGGGAGAAAGGAAGGGAAGAAAGAAAGGAACAAAGGAAGGTAGGAAGGAAGGAAGGAGGAAGGAAGGAAGGAAGGAAGGAAGGAAGGAAGGAAGGAAGGAAGGAAGGAAGGAAGGAAGGAGGGGAATAAGCATGTATTAAGCCCTTGCTATGTTCCAGGCATGGTACTAAGTTCTTTGCAAAAATATTTATCTCACAACATTCCTGAAAGGTAGGTCCTATTTTTATTATCCCTATTTTACAGTTAAGGAAACTGAAGCAGACAGAGGCTAAGTAACTCAACCAAGGTCACATGGCTAGTAAGTATCTGAAGCTGGATTTGAATGAAGGTCATCTTGAGAGGGACTACAGTTGCTACTGAAGAGCAACTGAACTGAAGAATAGCTTGAAAACGGAAAAAGAAAATTCACTAATTTGGCTGATGCACCACACCCATTGACAGATATTTAGTCAAGCACATCATGGGCTCAAATCAAATTTCAGTGAAAGAATCTGTCCAACCAAGAAGCTACATTCATCATGGAACTTTCATGTAGAACTTTTAAGACCGATGACACCAAAATTTACAGTTCTGAAATTGCAAATTATCACTGTAATATGAGGGTTTTTTTTATTATGCATTTCCTTGACATGTTTCTGTGTGTCCTCACTTTCCCTGACAAATACTAAGTGAATTGAGTGACATAGTGTGTCTATATGTGTGTGTATTATTTTCATTTTAATACAAGTATTATGATGTTATGATTTCTATTGCCTATAGCTAAAGAGTTACATTTAAGATCTAAATATATGATTGTGAGGGTTTAGTTATTATTATTAATAGAATAATATTCATGGGAGCTCCAGAGCTAATGTGAAGAGGAGGAATGCTGTATTTTTACTCAACACAGCTTCTCCTAGGACTCTGCCAATGTAACCATGTGGTCATAGTATTTCTCTGGGGATGCAGAAGTGCCAGGATGAGAGTAGGTTGAGGTAAGGAAGACAGATCAAACAGTGAGTAGGTGTCTACTTATCCTGTGTGAAAGTTATGAGATATAGTATTACAAAATGAGTGGGGTACTCCATACATATTAAAAGATGGATTCAGAAGTAGACTTTAAACAATTGGCAAAGAAAACAATCAGGTTAATTTTACTCTCCAAAGCACTAATGGTATTTTCTCTCCAATTAAAGAATAATGGCTTATGATTTCTTGAATTATCGTAATGATAATTTCTTATTTGAAGAGGCAGAGAAAATGACAACAGAACTAATTCTAACCAATTAAGACAAATGTGGTTGCTGAAGTAGGAATTATGGGAATCTTGAAATTTAATGAGCAATATACCACAGAATTTGTATTTGAAGAGAAGAAAGCTATGAGTAGTTATGATGCACTCTAAATTTTAAAAGCCGATTTCAAAACAATGAAGAAAAGAGGAGTGAAATCCAAAGGCCTAATATTCTTTTGGAGAAATGAGGATGGAAAGTTCTCAAGAATAAAATTCTGAAGGTTCTAGCAGAGAAGGAAAAGGAATGTCTTTCTGAAAAACCTATAAAAGGAACACTTTAACCAAGTAAGGATTTTTTTTTAAAGTCATGCATAGAAAGTTTAAGAAAGGGAAAATACTTGAAGATAAATAAAAAGAGTAGTTAAATCCTGTAAAAATTGTATGGATATCACGAAGCCCAGAGTGAACTGAATCTGTTAATTAAGACTAAAGCCAATGAAGAAAACGATAACTACAATAATTTGTATTCCTATTTGTTTTTGACATTTTTTCTGTTTTAGATAATTTAGGGGCAAGAGAAAGATCAGAGAGAATAGGACTTTGGCTTGGATAGAATGACGAGAGGCTATCCTAAGGAAGCTGAAGCAGTCTGCTATTTTTTTTTTCTGTTTTCTCTTCCAAAGATAGAACAGAAATGTTCAGCAAAGGATGGGAATCCAAGGTAAGTGAGAAAGCAAACCAATATCTAGTTTCTGTCAATGTATTCCTTTAATCTCAGATATGAAAAGACCTCTGAGATGTTGTTACTGAGTTGTATTTTATAATCTTTAAAACTTATTGGAAAATTAGGGTAGTGACATGGAGAGAAAGGCAATATTCTAATTTTCAACAAAAGGAAAAAGAAGAGAGTCTGCATAATACAGATCAATAAGTTTAAGTTTTATTCTTAGCAAACATCTCAAATCATTAATGTTAGTTAATGAGCATTTAGAAATGGAAATATAGATCATGAAAAACATATGATTTCTTCAAAAAGAGTTTCTAAAACACTAATTTCATTTTCTATATTAGTTTCATGCTAATTAGAGTCCTAGGTTTAGAAAAAAATATATACATTCATTTTGTTTGGAGAACTCCAAGTGCTATATTTAGGGAGTTATGAGCTAAATCATAGTATAGTTAGATGAAATTTTAACTGGTCCCTTAAGAGTCCTCTTTTTAAATATGAAAAAATTCCGAATTGGAATTGTGAAGTGAGTTGGGTTGATGTTTCTAATGCAGTGATTCAGAGATTTTTCCTTGATCTTGCGTTGTTCAATCTTTTAAACATGTGTAAGACTAACCATGTCATCCTTTTATCCAATAAACCACAACAATCTCATCACTTCTAAGATCACTTATAAACTCTTCTTTTTGGAAGGGAAAGTTATTTACAACCTTGGTCAAACTTCCTTTTTCAGATTTAATATACATCACACCATTTGAAACATGCTTCAATTTAGTTAAACTAGCAAAAAAAAATTCTGATGCATAACATTTTATTTCTCATCTCTGTGCCTTTGCATTGGAATTTCCCGTACTTGAAATGCACTCCTTCCTCACCTCTTACATGATCCCCAAAAAGGCTGGTGCCTTCCTCTTAAAATGATCATATATTGATTCTGTGAGCACCAGTGATGAAAGGGAAATCTTTCTAGAAATTCAGCTGCGTGGAAATAGGTGTCACCTTGATATGTAGGATCTTCAATGTAGTTCTTTAAGAAAAAAAAAAAAACGGGGCAGCTAGGTGGTGCAGTAGATAGAACACCAACCCTGAAGTCAGGACGACCTGAGTTCAAATTCGGCACCAGACCAAACACTTGACACTTAGCTGTGTGACCCTGGGTAAGTCACTTAACCCCAATTGCCTAAAACAAAACAAAGAAAAAGAAAACCAAACAAACAAACAAAAAGAAAATAAAAAAAGAGAAAAAAATGATTGGGGCAGCTAGGTGGCACAGTGGATAGAGCACAAGCCCTGTAGTCAGGAGGAGCTGAGTTCAAATACAACCTAAGACACTGACTCAGCTGTATTGACTCTGGGCAAGGAGAGAGAGAGAGAGAGAGAGAGAGAGAGAGAGAGAGAGAGAGAGCCTGATTGATTGACTATCTACTTGTTGGGGAGAACTTTTGGTCAAATTTATCTTGCATTACTATATCACAACATTGCATATCCCATTTTAGCATCTGTGTCTAAAATGTCTCCTGATTGGATATGTCGCTGGCCAACCAGTGATTTGAATGCAGTTCTCCTGATTCCGCTGTTATTTCCACTATACCTCACTACCTCCCTATGCTTTCACTTCTCATAAGTCTCTACTTTACCAAATAAAGAAAATGAATCAATGAGAAATCTAGTGACTTTGCAAGCAAAGAACTTTAATAGAGCAGGATAGACAGACATGTTCAGTGGCATTTAGCTTCTGATCCAGCCACTGAATCCCTAAGTGAAGGCAGCCCATAAAAAAAATTCTCACAATTTATGTTAATGCATATATGGTAGTTAAACGTTATTATAGCCTTGTCTCCTAGCAAATTTATTTTTGTTTAAATCAGAATCACTTAATTCTAGTACATTATTAAACACGAATCAGGCTTGTACTAGAGAAGTTTAATAATAATAATAGTTGTTTATAAGAATTATCTTATTAGGATGAACTTTATAAGGAGTTTCATAAGAATTAACATTTATACTTCTAGAGTTTTTGTTCTTTAAAATCTCAACAAGGTTCTTTAATTGAAGACATAATTATAAATATTTAAATATACCAAGGAAATTGGGAATATGTGAATGAAGACATTCTAGTTAAGTACACAAATATGCTTTTAAAATGCTTCCCATAAATCCAAACAATGTGCTAAAACTAACAAATATTTGTTTACATGAGACTTAGAATAGCCCTAAAAGACTTCTATAAAACTTTCTATTGATGTTCACTCTGTTTGGGACAGAGACCACTTACTAAAAATCAAAACAAAACAAAGACTTAGATACCTTGAAAGCAGAAAGGAGTTTTATTGCTTTCTCATGAAAAAGGACCCTCTCTGTGTTGCTCAAGGTGGCATCAGCGAGAGAGTGCATGCGCTGGCTGTGAGAAGCAAAGTTTCATAGCCCTAACACGTACCCCCCTCCTGCTCTCTTACCTCTTTCCCTTACTGGCTGGGTACTTAAGGTCTACGATCTAAATGCAGCAACTAATACCCAATACAAGCAAACATGCTCATATTTAGCAACTAGATGTATGTGTGAGCCAAGAAGCAGGAGGGACCAGGAACTGCCTGTGCTGACATGGATTTTTTTAGAAAGGGGAAACTGAACTCAGGGCTTTCTAGAAAAGTATAATTTAGGCCTGAGGGAACTGCACTTTAGTCCATCTCTCACAGCTCCCATTATGTCATAAGATCGTGACAATCATATAAATCAAATCTGTAGAAACAGTAGGGTGAGATGGTATAAAAATTTTTAAAGGTCTTTCTTAAAACAAAAATAATCTAATAAAGAGTCCTGTCTGTCTTACATATCTTTCCATTTATTGTTTTTCTCTTATTTCCTTCTCTTTCTTCTTTTTCTTTCCCTCCCTTTCTCATCAAGCCATCTCATTATTTATGAAGAGACCAAAGTCCTGTTAAAAAGGGGGGGGGAATCATGTTACTTCCCTTAAAATAATGTTATATGATTGAAAGGAATGTTTCATTTTTTTTTCTTCATAGTCTCATTGCCTAGCACATAGCAGACATTTAATAAATTCAGTGATTAAAAAAAATACAGCAGCTTAAACACTCACATTTTATAAATGACTGAGCTGTGTTTTAGAAACAAATAATCTGTTGACTGTGTAGAACTTAAAAAAAAATCTGTTGAAAAACTTGACCACTCTAAGCAAGAAACAATATAGCCGTGAAAAAGGAATGGGAATGTGAATGAAAATGAATGACACAGATGTAATAGAATCCTCTTCTGCAGGTCGTAGTAGTAAAGCTGGGTGAAAGAAGAAATTAGATAAATTGAGGTTTGCAAAGATATGCATGCAATGCAGCATGACAATCATGCAGGAAATAGAGGGAAGGGAAGTCTATCCTGCTGCTGAACAAGATAAGTAATAGTAGGGGCTATCATAAGGAATTGGTCATTCTCTTGGAAGTAAAGTGGGAAGTCTCCAGGAAGATTTTTGCCTCCTCTAAGGTTCTCAGGCAAATCTTTCTATTCATGCTTGCATTAATCAAAGGAAAGGAATTTTTGATAAGTGTATCAAAAATCACTTCCCATTGTTTATTTTGTTTAATAAAAAAAACACTGTCTCTAATGTAATGTCACAAAGTACAGTTGGTCATTCACTTTTTTTAGTATTCATAGAGAGTTTTACAAACCTTAAAATGCTATAGAAATGATAACTATTGTTGTTATAATTATTGTTAATAACAAACAAGTAGGTGGAGGATGATTAATCAGTCAGTTAGAAAAATGAGAGAAATGCGACAATTCTCAAACTGACCTGTGTAAGTATAGAGATCACAAAATGGATGAACTTTAGGCTTCTATCCCCAACTGCTTAGTGGCAACCTTCATTTAAATTTGCATCAAAAACTCAATATGTCCTAAACTTTCTTATTTTTCTTTCTAAATTTGCTTCTCTTTTTGATTTCACTAATTCTGTCATGGTGCTACTAATCAATCAGTCTCTTATGTGTAAAATCTTGACATTATCATTGACTCTTCTTTCTCTTTTATTTCTAATATCCAACGCATTACCTAGTAAGATTGATCCTTCCCCTTTGTCATTTCTTTCAGTGAAGGAAATTATATAATGGTAAAAACTACAGATGATTACCAATATCAATATTAAGTCTATATATGCAAAGTGACATGAACCAAATATGTCCTTTTTTGTAAGAAAATAAATAACTAAAATAGAAAAGAAAAAGACAGATAAAAACACAGCAATAGCAGAAGACTTTATTATGATACCTACTAATTGGGTTGAATGGCACTTGTACAGAAAATGGACAATGCGTTAGTACACAGAAAAAATGAAAATAACAGCAAAAAAAGCAGAAATGCTAAACATATTACAGACCATAATTTGACTTAAAACTATAATAAATTCAGGTAACACAAACAGGTGATACAGAAACAGACAGTCAATAATGAATTTATTAAAGAGATATAAGAATGAAATCTTACATAATAAATATATGAAAGAATAAATCATAGAAATAATTAATAACTAAGTGAAGTATGGTGAAATAATATCCTAAAATATCTGATTCAGCTAAAGTAATCCTGAAAAGAAAAAAAAAAATACATCCTTAGATCCAAACAGTAGCAAAATAAAAGGGGTTAATGCACTGAATATGTATTTTAAAAATTAAAAAATTAATAAAGTCAAAATAAACACAAAAGAGGAAATCTTAAAATAGAAAGAAATAGATATGTTGGAAAATAAATGGCTATGAAACTGATTAAACAACAATAACAAAAAAAAGGTTCATTAGCCAGATTAGAAATATTGATAAATATATTGCTTGATCAGTTAAATAGAAGGTGGAAAATAAATTAATATTTTTAATGAAAAGATGAAACCATAATACAGAACAAATGCGAACAATGGTCATACCTTATTTTTCATAGTTATGTGTCAACAAATCCAAATATTAAAAAGAAATAGAGAATAACATTTAAAAGGTATAAAATATCCAAATTAATATAGCACTAAGGAAAAGTGATAAGTAATCCAATTTCATAAAAGAAAATTGAATTAGTTGTAAATTGACTACTTGGAGGGAGTGTGTAATCCTAGTTTAGATATGTTTGCAAGAGAATTCTATTAAACTTTTTAAGGAGAATCAATACTTGTATTATGCAAATTATAATAAATGACTGAAAAGGCAGCATCCTAACAAAATCCTTTCATGAGATATAGCCCTAATGCCTAAAGCAAAGAAGGATGAAGCAAAGTAAGAGAATTATAAATATATGGAATTACTGAATATCAACTTAAAAATTTTAAATAAAATTCTGGTGAAAAGAAACATGAAGAAATGGTCCTTCTCTAAGCTATGACAAATCATTCTACATGCGTAAGTGATACTACTCTATCCTATCTTCTCTAGCACATTTGCTCCTTCTATGATCCCAACTCATAATTTTCACTCTCTCCATGTTCACTAGCTATTTTTCTGCTGTCTATAAGCACATCTATGTCTCCTTTATTGTGTGAAAAAAAAATAATAACCTCATTGAAACTATCTCTGCTATCATCCTTCATCTCCCCAATTTTTCATACTTAAATCTATTGAGAAAGCCACCCACAATTAAGTGTGTCCATTTCCTCTCCTTCCACTCTCTTCTAAAATCTCCCCAGTTTGGCTTCTGACTTCAACATTCAACTGAGACTGCTCTTTCTAAACACATTGATTAACCTCTTAGTTGCCAGATCTAACAGCTTTTCACCATCTTCATCCTTCCTGACCTCTTGAAGCCTGTGATGCTGTCAATTTTCCTCTTCTCTTTGATGTTATCTTCTCCCTAGGTTTTTGTGAAACTGTTCTCTCTGGTTCTTCTTTTTCTACCTCTCTGACTATTCCTCAGTCTCCTTTGCTGGATCTTCATCCAAATCATGCCCTCTAATAACGGGTATCCCCTAATGCTCAGACCTGGACTCTTTTTTTTTCTTCTCCTATACCTTTTCACTTGGTAATCTAATCAAATTGTATAAATCCACACTATCAAATATAGCCAGATGAAAAATATTTATAATTTACAATCTATCAGACCCATTTTTCTAGCTTTAAACTCTCATCTAACCTATACCCTCTCATCAGCAATGGCCTAAGAGTCATCTGTTAGAAATAAATATCAAATTGCATATCCCACAGACATATTAAACTCACTATGTTCAAAGCCGAATTATCGTTTCCTCTTAATTGCTTCCCTCTTCAAAATTCCCCAACTATAATCAGGGGCGCTACCGTGCTCCTTGTTATATAGGTTCAGACCCCAGGTGTCATCCTTGATTACTGATTGTCAGTGCTGCCACCTCTATCCATCTAGTTATAAAGTCGTGTTGCAATATCACTCATTTATGCCTCCTTCTCTCCTCTGATACTACCACTCATAACTAAACTACTACTACAACTTTTTCTTTATCTCCTTGCAACAGGTCTCCCTGCAGTGCGTTCCACTCTTCATTAGTTGCCACGGGAATTGTCTTGAAGCACATCTGCCCATATTGTCTTCCTACTCAACAAACACCCAAAGCTTGCTATTAACTCTAAGATCAAATATAAGATTAAAACTCATAATAACCTGACCCTACGCACTGTAATATAGCTTCTTTACACCTTACTTCCTTTCATAGTCCCAATGGTACAATGAAACTGGCCTTGTTGTTATTCCTCACATGAGGCAGTGTATCTAACTCACTAATTTTCTTTATTTCCCCCTTGTTCATTTACTCTTTATTCACTCATTCATTTCTTTGTTTTCAAATTTTATTTGGTTTTAATTTTTATTTTCAGTTCCTATTCCTCTCCCTCTCTTCTATGTTTCCCCTCCCACTGAAAAGGAAAGAAATATAATACCTATTATACAGATAAAGTGATGCAAAATGTATTTCCACATTATACATACATATATTTCCTCATTTCCACATTCCACATTTCATGTTGCACAAAAAAGCAAGAAAAAAAATTTTTTAAAAAGTTACAATCTGCACACATATAATAATATGAAATTTAATAGAGATTAATATAAAGTCCTACATAGAGGCCCACGCTTAAGTTTCAGTTAAAATCACCTGCAGAGGTACAAGTTGGAGAGTTTTAATAAACTGCAAATTCAATATTCCTGAGAACAGTGTGTCATAGCAGCCCCCAAAGTGAATGCTATAATAGACAGAATGAATTGAAGCCTAATGATCATATCTCTGTATTCTAACACAGCCAGCCTGCATCTAACGTATTATGTCAGTTCTGAATGTTGCAGTTTTAGAAGGCTATTGACAAATTGGAACATGTCCAGATTAGGGAATTCATGATGCTAAGCATATCAGAGACCTTGTCACAAGAGGCTGGGAGGGAGGCTGGGTGAAGGAGCTATGAGTTTTGAACCTGGAAGGGAGAATACTTAAGGAAGATCTTATCCATTGCCATCTTCAATTATTTTAAAGGATGTGACACAGAAGAAAGAAGAGATTTTTTTCTCCTTGGCCCTATAGAGCAAAATTGAGAGCAATAAGTAAAGGCTGAATAATGATGGATTTATACCTGATTAAAAAAAAATAAAGGAAAAAAACAGTAATAGCAGCAAGGTAGTACAGTATATGGAGTGCTGGACTTGAAGTCAGAAAGAACTGAGTCAAATCCTGCCTCAGATACTTCTTAGCTGTATGACCGTGGGTAAGTCACTTAACTAACCTGTGTAAGCCTTAGTTTTCTCATCTATAAAATGGGAATAATACAAGAACCTACCTCACCAGACTATTGTAAAGATCAACTGAGACAACATACATACAACACTTTTAAAATCTTAAAATGGCATATAATTTAAAATTATAATAGTAATAATAATAGCAATATTTAAATAATTGAAAAGAATTGCTAAATAATCCAAAAATAGGATGTGCTGCTTTACTAGGATTACTTGAAGTCTTCAAACAGAGGCATGATTAATTCAGGGACAGGAATGGTTATGTATGCTTCTTTCAAATTCTGAAAGTCTGTGATTTTGTACTACATTCTCTAAGAATCCAAACAATTTGGATAGTTGCCCATATGCAGCTTAGAAAACAACATTTGCACCATATGTAATATATAATGTAATTACAATTTCAGAAAACTTTAATGGAAACACATTTTAGAAGGGTCTATCTTCCATATATGTGTGTGTGTATATATATATATGTATGTATGTATATATACACACACACTCATTTTTTTCTTTCCCAAATTTAGTCAGCTCTAAAATATGTGTGTCTCTAATCATCAGAGTGAAAAATAACTGGCCTAACATATACATCACCTGTAATATACAAACACACACACACATATATGTATGTATATATGTATATGTTTGTATATGTATGTGTATGTATATATGTGTATGTGTGTATATACATGCATGTATCTGTATATGTATCTGTGTCTACACAAAGAAAGATAGACAGAGAGAGAGGAAAGAGAGAGAGAGAGAGAGAGAGAGAGAGAGAAGAGTCAGGTGAACCCTAAATTCTACTTGTGGAGACTGGATTTTTTTTAATGATTGTATTTAAATATAATTGATTTTCTTCATAATCCTATATATTCTTCTTTATGAATTTAAAAACATCATTTTGAGAAGTCTATAGATTTTGCCAGACTGACAAAGTGATCCATAAAACAGAAGGGCTAAGAGCTCTTTCTTAATATTTACCCCTCTGCCATAATTTCCCAGCAAACTGAGTAAATAAACATGACTGGAAAAGCTCTGGTGACCTTTTTCACATAGAATCATTTCAAATATGGGAGCTTCTACTTGCCTTTAGAAATTGCCTAACCTGGACTCCATGGAAGGCTATTTGCAATGCACCATATCTGTATTTCCAAGCTCCTGTGAGACTTCTCTTCCTTGTTAACTGATATTGCAATTAATCCAGTCATTTGTTCACATGTTCTTTGGAAAATGTCTAATTATGACTAGTTATAGTTATTATTATTGTTTGATTTGTTGGCATAATTTAGGCAGTCCAAATATTTTGGGTGAAAAGTTTCAGTGTAACTGCAATAGATATTATTGGAACATATTATTTCCTTTTAGTCTACTTTCTATGGTATTTCTAATTCATCAAAAGGATATTTATACAAATGTCACCTATAACCCAGAGTTCTCCTGTCTCCCTTTCGAGAAAAGGATTCTGGCATCAGCCACACTGGATTCAATCCTAGGAGCCTGATCCTTAGATAAATCAATTTATCTTCTCCCCCACCCCAGAGATTTACTTTGGGGATATCTGCAAAATGAACCTTAGGTTATCTTCTATCTAATTTCCTGAAATATGGGTAACAGGTTCCCATATAGACATCTAATTTACAGTGTGGCTCTTGGGTAGGGGGTAGTTTATATTTTACCCATCCTAGGAAATTACCAAGATGTAAGCATTCAAGTAAGCTAAACAAATACGGAAACATAAAACACTGTAGTACCTGTTAGACTCATCAGACCCGGTGTTTCTGAACAAACTATTTGATTTTACATGGGCCCTTTCCTGTATAAAAAATACTTCACAACACCAGGTTTCACTAAGGCCAGTGTCTCTGCTCCTTCATGGCACTGTTTCCTTACTTCAGGGTCATCCATAGCTTTTGGAAGTTTTTCTCCATCAAAGATGTTGTTGAGGCTATTTCCTTCTAGAAGGCTGATATTCAGCTTTCCTGTTGTGAAACTCATCATCTTTTGGAAACTTCAGAACTTGCAAAGAAATGTTGGTTCCAGAAAAGGACCAGAAAGGCAGATAGCAGCCAGAAACTTGAGGTTCATGACAGATAATTCACTCTACTTCTATCAGTTATCACTTTCTGTTGCTTAGGGAGAAGGATGAAAAAAGCTCCCTTATCTTTCTGCACTTGTAGCCAGGAAGTTTTCAAGACAGACAGCACATGGAAAAAAAACAGAGGTCATTGTACAGATTGCTTTTATAAAACATGGGCAAAGATAATTTTTCTGATTAGATGGACTTCAGTCCATCCCTGTGAATTTCAATTGTTAACCATCTTGGAGACAATCCTTCATACTTTGAGAATAGCTCATTGTGTTCTCACAAGTGCTAGGGTCCATGTGTAACTCCATTGGAGCTTCCCTTCTTACAAAAGTTCACAGCTTTTAATCTCAACATATTGGGGGACTTATCAGGGCACATTGGCCAATAACCTCAATTATAGATATTCCCTGGGGACCTGGGGAAGGCTAGAGAAGTTCCTTTTGGCTTGGATCTTGACTGCCTCCTGAGTGTTCCAGAAAAGTTCAAATGACATTGTTTTATGATGCTCCCAAAATTTTCTTTTATGAGATCCTAAGCCTTCCATTACTGGCTGGCCTGGAGTTTACATTCATTTCTAAATACATAGGTATGAAAACGTAAGTATATAAACAACCAAGTATTTTACAAAGTTCTTGTAGGTTAACATCTTTCTTGGTCCTGTTCATCACATTTCTCAATACAAAATAATTAGCAAAGAGTGCAATCAAAATGAAATAGTAGAAAATAATAGATGAGGAAAGGAAAACAAACAAACAAAGTAGGTATTCTCTGTTAAGACAGAGAGTCTAGGCTCACATAAGCATCCAAGGAATAGATAGATCAAATATAGATAGGTCAAAAAACTGGAAGGGACATCAAAAGACATGTAATCTAATGCTTTCATTTTACAAATGAGCAACCTAGGCACAAGGAAATTAATTGTCTTGTCCAAGGCCATGCAGGTATTAATCATCAAAGGCATAACTTTAACTCAGATCCATTGACTCTGGAGCCACTACTCTTTCCACTGTGTCATTCTTTTCTCCCAATAAGGCCTCAAGAAATGAGGTTGAGTGAAAATCAAAACACTTAAGAAACAAAACTACTACAAGTGAAAATTTCTTCAGTAGATAATTGTCACATACGGTTCAAATAAAAATAATTCCAAAACAAATTTCTCCAATGAATCCTTGTAAAATAAAGGGAAATCTAAATGAAGTTCAGATAAAACATGCCTCTGATAGCTCCCTGTGGGACTATTTCCTGTGTCCTCTTGGTAAGGTACTAGATGAACATGAAAGTGGAGTCCCTATCCAATTATCGTCTATGTCCTATTATCTCATGCTGGGAGACTTACCAATTTGATCAACATATCCATGATTACTCTTCTTCCCCATCAATAATTTATCATCACTGCTAATAACAAAGTTTATGACTTTTAAGAAATATTGGTATGATGTTATATTTATATTGCTCACGTCTCCTCCAGTCCCATAACTGAGTTTACAGTTAGACAGTAAACTGAATCAGTACAAAAGTGTCAGTTCTAATCTTTGACTCATACTAGTCTGTCTGTGACCCTGCTGACATGGATTAGTCTTTGCATACTCTATGACTGCCATAGTTTAGCACTTAGGGTTCTCTACTATTTTTCATTGCTGTGACTCTTAACACTAGAAGATCAAAAATATGAACAGGGAGAATATTTTATTCTTTAACCTGAGGTAGACTTAG